GGGGGGGGGGCGTGCTTGTTTTTCCATCACCTGCTGCTCGAGTGGACAAAGAGGAGAGCCTCTCATCCGATGCGTACGTGTGCCCCCGCGTGCCAGAGGCAAACGGCCAAGGAAAACGTCCGCCACGCCACATATAGGCCATGCGTGCGTCTTTATATGCCCCATCGGAGGTAGCGTGAAAACACCCCAATGTATAGTGGAAAATGTAGGGCGCGCACGGCTTCTGAAGTATCTGCGTGCGTCAATCATCTCAAGGTAAAGCGCAATGAAGTGAGCACATGATCATTTCCCCTTTATCTGGCTTGCTCGAGGGGGTTACTCGGCATGTGTGCGCGTGTCATAAAAAAAAAAAAAAAAAGATCGACCTATATCCCATAGTGTACATCAAACTGCCAGACACGTGCGCAGACGGTGTTTGTGAGCCTTTTCATTTCCTTTCATTACAAGAACACACACTCCAGCGTATTTTTGCACACACGCTAATTGGGACGTTTTTGCTCTACTTTATGGCCTCCATCCACAAAAAGTGGCTATAAGGTGTCATGCACGATCAAAAAAAATGCACTGTGTTAATCAAAAATAAGATAAATCCATTTCTCCCAGAATTCTTTTTTGAAAAGTCAGCCCCCGAAGACTGTTTCGCATGAAATTTAGTGGGGATGTCTATCATGAGAAGACCCACAAAAAAGTCTCAAGAAGCCAGCTGCACAAGTCAGCCATTTTGCTTCCATGCTGCCATTTTTCGCTCATTTTTTACATTCAAGCTCCCAGAGCCTGTTTCACTTAGCACCATCAAGTTTAGTAAGCATGTCCTTCATCATTGGACCCACAAAAAAGTCTTTTTGGACCCTGATGAAGCCTGACATGTTGTCACACAAAGATAATTTTGGCCATTTTCCAGACCATCTTCAAACAGAGATTTTTTTTTCTTTCCCAATGGCGACCAAATTTGAACCACAAACGGATATTTTAACCGCCTGTGAATCTGTAAATAAGCTAAGACGAGGGGACGCTTGACGCCCTGGTTTTTATTTGTTTGTAGCATCAATCGCAACATGTCCACCGTGGGAGGCAGAAAAGGGACAAAAGCGAGGCTAATGTGCATGTGACACACTTTCTGTTGATTTGCTTCGGCATAGCTGTTGGCCAGCAGTTGCGCTCGTTTGGCAAGCGTTCTCACACACACGCACACACACAGACACACACACACAAAGTAGTCACAGGGTCTTTGGCGCGCTGCACAGCTAATGTACACCACACCCTGTTGCTCTCAGTCGAGCCGAGTGCGTTTGTTTCGTCGATCTAGAACCACAAACTGCTCTTACAAGCGTGTTTTAAGACGAATTAAGTTTCACTTCGACTAATATTCAAAATCGGGGGCGAGACCAAATCCGCATCGGCTTTGTTTCGCTCGAGCAGAGTCCACGAATGGGGAAAGTCTGAACTAGTTACGAGTCCCAAGGAGGTTCTGGAAGGCTGGCCGCGGCTCCGGGCCAGTGCATATGTTGTTATGACTGCAACCGTGACACGGGCTGCTGATTGTTGTGTGTCTTTGAGAACAGCTGTCTGTGCCCTCCGGAAAACGTGGTGATGCTGGTCCGAATGATTCATAAACAAATACAAAGAGCCTTTATTTATCGGCCCGATCCTTTGACGGCACAACCCAAATGGTTGGATAAAATTGCAAACATGGCATCCAGTGATCACACTCTGGCTATGTATCAATCATACGTACTATTTATCAATCAACGTTAACAGAATACGGTGACCCCAAACGTTGTCTCCGACGACCTAGCGATGGCCTCAATTGACGCCGTCACTCAACGCACTCACACCGGTTCGCTAGTTAACAGCCAGTCAAGTCTACGCTCTCATTTGCCGGCTCCCACATCACTCACCGGCATCATTCAAACTATTGATATGACAATCAAGAGAATAGTCAATCCTAAAAATATTTGATCGCCGTCGCTCTATTTGGCACTTTTCGCGCAGGATAGCACCCTGGGAAAAAGATTTGTGAACGGGGATATCGATGACGTCATCGGACGGTGGCAGTTGCTTTCAAATAACAGGTTGGACGAAGTGAGGCTTGGGTTTTAAACTTCACTGCCCGCTTCCTTTGTTTTGCACTACTTTTACACACGGGTGCTGTTATCCCATTGATACTCGGTCGATAGCCCATCAATTTCATCCAAGTATTCCATTTTGGTATTTATATATCAAAGACTGTGACTGTGCGAAAGGGGCCTCGTAGTGGAAATTATTATTTTGACATGTTCCCCCCGCCTCCCACGCTTTTAAAAGCGTTCGAAAGGGGCTGACATGGAAATACGATTGCTTGGGAGTTATTTTGACATGTTCCCCCCGCCTCCCACGCTTTTACAAAGCGTCCGAAAGGGGCTGACATGGAAATACGATTGCTTGAGAGCTCAACGTCACAACCACTGTCAAGGTGTTGCGGAATACTTTTCCACACAGTCAATGGTCTGACTATCTTTGGGTCCTGATACAACCTCAGGCAGCAGAAAAACATACATGTGATGCAATCATCGGCCCGCAGCTGCCGACCGCACCTGTCTGAAACCTGGCACGCACCCCTATGTTTAGCCGGACAGCCAGCATTTAACGTGCCTCCTCACGGGAAGTCCAATGTGGAAATTGTCAAGGACGATTCCCGTAATCTCGCATTACTTTTATTAGTATTGTAGGAGATGCCAATCGCAATTGCTCACTGTGCTTGTGGTCGTTCTTCGCAGAGGACAAAGAATATATGCCCTTTAGTCTTTGTTCGCAATCTGACAAGCTGGCGCTTTTTGTGAAATGAATTGAGATGAGTTCACTGCCACTGTACAGCATAGGAACTAGGCGTCACGGTTGCGCGGCTGTAATAAGCGAAACGCCTCTCGCCCTCTGCCACCCCCCCCAAAGTAACAACGCACGACAGCAAAAGAGGCCGGCCGCGTGGGCGGGAATGTTGGCGGGGAAGATATTCATGCCCGGCAAAACAGAGGAGTGAGGGGCGGGGAATTCCTGTAATCCAGCGCAGCGTTCAGTAGCCTTCATTTGAAATGATTGATCACCGTGAGGCCGGCGGGGAAACCAAAGACACCTGGGTTTCTGTTCCTGCCCGTTTGCGTGCATCGAGATTGACCTCGCTAAGTTTAGATGGAGCCGGGATTCGGGGAAAACATCGTGCTGATTTTATACGGGGGTAAACTAAATAGCAAGGCTAAGCCAGTTTCCACGCAGTGGTACACTTGAGGGTGGCTGAGTGATACAGCTCCAAAGGCTTCCTTCCCTGTGACTGTCGGCAAAAGTGCCTCATTCACTGTCCACCATTTAATGGTCAGGAGTATGATTGGCTCCCCCCTACACTGGCATGCCATGCAGAAATGCCCCACACCGCAAAAATAAACAAAAAACTGTGCACCATCCAAAAAAAGACGGTCAACAGCAGGTTCGCAACGTAATGTCTCCTCTTGTAAATAGAAAGGTTAAAATTGTCATATTCTGACCTGAATATTTTTGATTCCAGAAATGCAGGCTCAAAGTGCGACAACAAAATATTTATTACAACAACAAAAATGCATAAAACAAAAAGCACTTGCAAAGGCAAGGTACGAGAGAACAGCGAGAATACACAAACAAAATATCAAAAGTCCAATTACGCGAAACCAAAGGAATGATGAAAACACAAAGTTCTGAGACAAAACAAAAGGTTTAGAATACAACACCTGAAGCTCAACAGCGAGCAAAGTCAATCATCCGACAAGAGGCTTGGCAGCCCTTAAACAAATGGCGGGCTTGGTTGGTAAACGCGGAACAGGTGCGCCTGTTGGAGGGAAACGCCCTCCACTCCAGCTGGGGCTGAAAACAACCAAAACAGACAGAACATGACAAAACTATGAGCCACACTTCCCCACCTTGCAGAAAAAAACTACAGCGAAAAGAGCATAGTTGCAATCCCTGCTCTGTATTAAATATCGGTGTTTCAGTTCTTCGCCGTACGTCTAAGGCGCCTTCCCACATCGTGTTCCCAATTTCCAAGTGTATTAAAGGCAGATGTGCGTGTGTGTGTGTGTGTGTGTGTGTGTGTGTGTGTGTGTGTGTGTGTCCTCAATGAGTCAATGGGTGGCAGCCATCTGGGGGTGCAACTTGTGTAAATTAGCCCCCCACCCCGGGCGTCCAATCTTCTAACGTCTTCCTAAGCACAAATGCGTGCGTCCTTGACGCTCGGGCTTGCGTCGTGTCGCCGGGGGGGCAAACATGTCACGCGCTAAGCGAACGCACAAGAAGAATTAAACGTCCGCCGGGATAACAAAGAAGCACTTTTCCTCCTTGACACTCTCGCGCGTTTTGAAACTCAACCCTTGTGGTCGCGCGACACACACACACACACGCACGCACACACACACACACACACACACACACACACACACACACACATCTGCTTCTCATCCAGACCCTTCTTCCAACCTCCTTTTGTCGTACCTTTAAAGGCGTGAGCAACAATGGCAAAGGTCTGACAAGATCGAGGAGGTGCGAGGGCGGGAGACAAAGGGAGCGCGGCGGAGGTGAGAGAAGAGGAAACAAAAGGTGGCGCCGGAGGAAAGGAGACAAAAGGAGGAGTGCAAAGGATCTGAGGCGAGGTGGAGCGAGGGAAAAGAGAGTACAAGAGGAAGGGAGAGGAAGGTGGTAGTTAAAGCATGGGAGGGTAGGAATGGAGAAGATATGGTGGAAATAGGGGAGGAGACAAAATGGGGGGGAGTATGGATGCGCTGGGAGGAGGTGAGGATGAAGAGGGGAGGGGCGAGAAGAGGAAGTGTCGAGGTGCCTTCAGCGCAGGTACGAAAAGAGTCCCTCTTGCTGCAACACGTCATTAAAAATGTCGTTCATCTCTGTCCCAGCAGAGGGCAGCAAGTGGACAGAGTATCAAATGATGCCATTTAATATCCATTCAATTTTTTAAAAGAAAGAAAAGAAAACAGCAACTTTCCAGCAGTTGAGCTTTCTCCCATTCAATGTTAGTCGCCCCAAGACCCGGAGATCTGCCAGTCGATGATAGTGAACCACAAATAGGCGCAGAAGGCGGGAGGAGGTCGGATATGAAGAGACAAACAAAAGAGAAGATGGAAGGAAGGAGGAGACAAAAGGCGAGTCGAAGAGTCAAAACCGCGAACGTCCGTCCGTTAGCCGCCGCGATATTGATGAGGAACGTCTGCGCCGTTGGGTAATCACGCCGAGCATCAATCAAGATGCCGAGCGCACAAACCTCGTCCTCCACTTCCTGGTCACCTTGGGGGACGCCGTCAAGTGACCGGCTGTCGTCAAGGCAACAGCGAGCGCTCATCATGGCGTGACAAGCGCATTTGGAGGACTCTCAATTAAGACTTGATGTACGAGCGGTGGGAGTTGGCGTCCAAGTGCATAATTAACGCCAAACTGCTGAACGGATCGCTAAGTCAAAGTCTGATGGATGTCTTTCATAAATGTGTGTGTGTGTGTGACCAGTCATCTCAGCCAACTTGCAATAAAACATCTCGCCCGCAGAGCCCCCTGGAGGTCCCAAAGTCGCTTGTTGACAAGCAGACGACACACGTAATTCCAGCTAGTTCGCTGGCGGCTATTCACGAATGCTAAATGAGCTTGTCTTCAGAGGCTAACCATGTCACCTGATGAACCCTATCATATGCACGTCCAAATATGGAACACCAAACTTTTAAACCGCATTTTAGCTGCTCGTTTAATCATGTTTTTTGTTGTTGTTGTTGTTGTTGTTAAACAGACGGTCAGAGGAGGAAGTGGATATGGACAAGGTGACGGCCGCCATGGTTCTCACCAGCCTCTCCACCAGCCCACTGGTCAGGAGTCCGCCCGTCAAAGTCAGCGGTAAGCTAACAGACACGTTTGTGAACCAAAACGCAGTAAACGAGATCCCTGTGAAGTACTAACTTCTGTTACGTTAGCAACGACTACCGTTCCAATTTTGACATGGTCGCACGGCACTGTTGTGGTGCTCACCAAAATAACAGCGCATAAATATTTCGTTACCCCCCCCCTCAGAGGCTCTGAGCGGCTCGTGGAAAGAGAACGGATCCGGGGGTCCCTTCACTCCATCCAGCAACAGCTCATCGGGCGGCTACTGGAGCTGGTCGGCACCCAGCGACCAGTCCAACCCGTCCACGCCGTCGCCGCCTCTCTCGGCCGACAGCTTCAAGCCCTTCCGGGTGCCTGGCGGGGGCCCCCCCAATGCGGGGCCCGAAGACCCCAGCCTGGAGGAGACGGATGGAAGCAGCCTGCTCTTCGACGAGCCGATACCACGCAAGCGCAAGGTGGCCGCCCATAGGCGTTTTAGTTAGCCACGTTAGCAGTGACACCCAATGTGCTAATGACAATATTAAGCTAACTTGCTAATAAGATGAGTTAAACACCTAAAACAATATACTTCAGTCCGCTTTGTCATAGCTAAAGAAAATGCTAATCGAATCCTCTTATAGAATAAACAAGTGTCTGATGACCTTGTTTTTTTTTATGTTTGGTTACATGGACAAGTTAGCCATCATTAGCCATTCAACATTCAAATGACAGTGCTAACGTTGTGATCGTGTTAGCACTTGTTAGCCACACATCATGTTAACAATTAATGGTAACCAGCTACAAGCACACTAGTCTTAACAAGTAAGTTACCAAAGTCTGATTGTCATTAATTTAAAAATGCGCTTTGCTAGCCACCTAGCGAACTAGCTCGCCCCTGGTGCTAACTGGGCTACATTTGTGCTGTGCAGAACTCCATGAAGGTGATGTTCAAGTGCCTGTGGAAGAACTGCGGCAAAGTGCTAAGCACCGCCGCCGGCATCCAGAGGCACATCCGCACCATCCACCTGGGGTACGTACCCACTTCCTGTTTGCTGAGCTCATCTATTTGCGCCGGTCCTATTATGTCACCCCCTCCTTCCAGGCGCAACTGCGACTCAGACTGCAGTGACGGCGAGGAGGACTTCTACTACACAGAGATCAAGCTCAACACGGACGCGGTTGCCGAGGGCCTGAGCAGCCTGTCGCCCGTGTCACCCTCCGTCCTGACCCCGCCTTCGCTGACGGACGGGGCCACGCCCCTTCCCCTGCCCCCGCCGCCGCCCTGCACCAAGGAGCCTCACTCTGGCAGCGCCACGCCGCTCAGCCGCTCTGCGCCCAGCGCGCTCTACCTCATCCACGCCGACCACGCCTACCAGGTGAAGGCGGCCCCCAAAACAGAACACACACACACACACACACACACACACACACACACACACACCCTTCTTCACTCTTAAATTGAACCCCATTTTAACCGCGTGACCTCCGCCTTGCCCCTCGTTCAGGCCACGGCTCCGGTGTCCATCCCGTCCAACGGTGCGACAAACCCGGCAGCCTCTTACAGCTTCACGCCCACCAACGGCTCGGGTTTCAGCATCTCCTGGCAGTCACCTCCCATCACCTTCACCGGAAACATGGTCAGGAAACAGCATGCGCGCGCGCGCGCACACACACACACACACACACACACACACACACACACACACACACTACTAGCAGCATTCAGATGTGCCGATGCCATTGATTGCATTTTGGAGTTTCAATGTATGGTTGGGCTTGTGCGCCCCCTGCAGGTGTCACCCAGTAAGAGTCAGAGCTTCACCGAGCAGCGTTCCCAAACCATCGCCGTCCTCTCGTCGCCACCCAGAGCCACAGCCGCCCTCAGGTGACGACTACAAAAAAATAAAAATAAATAAAAATAGCAAAAAATAATCAAGCGAAACCCCCAGATCTCAAAATTATTATACACTATATTTTCCTTCTTTTTTTTTTTTTTCCTCGCAGTCGTAAAGTACGTGGCGAAGGCAAGAAGTGCCGCAAAGTGTACGGGATGGAGAACCGCGACATGTGGTGCACCGCCTGCCGCTGGAAGAAGGCTTGCCAGAGATTTACCGACTAGATGGACGTCGGGACCCGCCGAAACGGGGCGAGGAGCCTCGTTCTGCATGCGTTCTCTCTTCACATCAAAAATCGCAACTGTCCATCAAGCTCCAGCTCCGCCCCCAGTGCCGACATCCCTCCATCCCACAAGGTGGCGCCGAGCCAGGACGACGGTCCATCAGTCCCACTTTTTGGAAAAGTGCAGCTAAAAAACTGTGTTCGGAAAAATGATACATTTCTGATGTTTTTTTGGGTTTTTTTTTTTTTTTTCTTCTTTTCTGTGTTTTGGAAAGTTTTTACATGGAACGGCCCAGGAAAGGAAAAAAAACTTTGTTTTTGTCAGAGAGGCCTGGTGGTAGAGGGGTTTGCGCATCGACCTCACAGTGCAGAGGTTGTGGGTTTGATGCCGGCTACGGCCTTCCTGGGTGGAGTTTGCCTGTTCTTCCCGTGTCTGCGTAGGTTTTCTCCGGGTACTCCCACATTCCAAAAACAAGCATGGCAGGCTGATTGAACACTCTAAATCAGCGGTTCTTAACCTTATTAGAGGTACTGAACGCTACCAGTTCACATGTACATTCATCAAACCCTTCAGAAGTGAAAAATTGAAATAATTTTTTTACAAATTCAAGACCTAAAAAAAGCGCATTTATTAACAACACAAAGAGCCATACGTTTTTTTTAATTGCGAACAAAATGAATCTCCATGCAGTTTTGCCGACTCAACTTGGCATGACAAATCATGCAGATAGGACACTGAGTCCCATCACTGTCCGGGATGCATGTGAATCCATGTTGTGCATATTCATCCGACCACTTTCTTTCTTTGCTCGACATGGTTAGCATGTATTAAAACATTTTTTAAAAAAAATCACATGACAGTCACACGTTGACTACTGAGCGAACTAAATTTCCCGCTGCACTGATTGCACAAGCAATGTAATGTGATCATCTGCAGCCAGTGATGGCCAAGGGGGCGTGTCATAACTAAATGACATGTTGAGTCGAGCGTGTCTTAACTTCCATGGCAGAGGCTCCATTGAACGGCTGAGACCGATTCACCGAACCCCTCGGTTTCAGCTCTGTCGAACCCCTGAGATCGATTCACCGAACCCCTCGATTTCGATCGAACCCAGGTTAAGAACCACTGCTCCAAATTGTCCCTAGGTGTGATTGTGAGCGTGGATGGTTGTTCGTCTCTGTGTGCCCTGCGATTGGCCGGCAACTGGTCCAGGGTGTCCCCCGCCTACTGCCCAAAGACGGCTGGGATAGGCTCCAGCACCCCCCGCGACCCTTGTTAGGATAAAGCGGATCGGAAAATGGATGGATGGATGTTTTTGTCAGAAAATGATCCAAAAGAAGAAAAAGAAATCCTTTGCTAGCAGTTTTTAGTGTGTACGAACACAAAAGAAGAAAAAGAAATCCTTTGCTAGCAGTTTTGAGTGTGGACGAACATTTGTAATGTCTTCATCTGGGGTTTTTTTTTTTCAACCTTGGAAAAAAATCTGACATTTTGTCCTCCCTTTTGTCATTTTTTTTTCCAACGGAACGTCGCAGTACAAAAATGGCCCAAAAAATTATTCAAACAGAGAACTTATTTGATAATATTTTCCATTTTTTTCAACCTTGGAAAAAAATCTGACATTTTGTGCTCCCTTTTGTGATTTTTTTTCCAACGGATCATCGCAGTACAAAAATGGCCCAAAAAATTATCCAAACAGAGAACTTATTTGATAATATTTTCCTGGAAAAGTCAACATGGAAGAACTCAACAAACTTTGACCTTTATCATTGTTTTTTTTTTTTGTTTTTTGTTTTTTGTTTTTTTTTTTATAAATCCAAAGCGCAGAAACGTCCAAAAAAGACTAACAATTATTTTGTCGGAATTTATTCAAAATAACAACAACTTTTTTTTTTTTAAACAGCATTTTGAGGGGAAAAGTAAGGAACAAAGTGGAGGAACATCATGATGCCTTCGTCTTCTTCATCTCTTATTTTAGTAACATTCGGTTTTGTAAACTGAACGGACGCCCAAAATAACGAACAAAGTTCTTTGCTAGCATTTTAAGGAAAATTTGGGGAACAACATGGATCTTTTGTCGGGTTTGATTTTGGGGTTTTTTTTTTTGTTTTTTTTTTTAATGCACCATCCATACAAAGAAACGTTGCAAAAAGACAAGCATTTTTTTGGGGGGTGGTGTTCTGAATTCATTCGCGAAACGAACAAATTTCTCTGCTGACAAGTTAAGGAAAAAGCGGGGAAACAGCGTGACAGCGCCCTCATTTTCATCTTTCACATTTTCCATTTGGACCCACTTTTTGAGAAACTGTTTCTCCTTTTTCAAACCACCAGGAAACATCCAGAAAAGACCAGACTTTTGTGGTTTGACCGGGAAATTTTGCAAGAATAAAGCAAACGTTCGCTCGCAAACTGAGGAAAATTTGGATAACAACATGAATGAAGGGTTTTTTTTTTGTTTTTTGGTTTTTTTTTAAATAATGCCTGGCATCCTTCTTGTGAAGTGGTTTCAACCCAATGTTCATGGCAAGAATTGTCCAAAAAAATGAAACTTTTTTTTGGGGGGGGGGGGGGTCAGAAATGATCCAAAAGAAGAAGAGCGCAAAAAAATCAGGAATCGGCATGGTGAGGCGATCATTGTCTTTCGCTTTTGTTTGACATCGTGAACCATTTTCCCCATCACCAGCATCCTCTCCCTTGTTCCTTTTGGAAAGGTCGGCTTCTGAAACAGAATAACCAAGTGAAGAAACATTCCAAAAAAAAGGAACAACTTTTGAACCAAGTCCTTCGCAAGAATTCTAAGGAACGTGGAGGAACAATGTGACAGCCTCATTGGTTTCATGTTTTTTTTTTTTCTTTATACAAATTTCCCAAGAACCTTGACTTATCGCTCCGAGGGAAGATTTGGACAACAAAGTTGCAACTGGATATTTCTCCTTTTGTTTCCTTTATCGGATATGGAATCAAGTGGAAAAACCATCAGCTCCTTTAAGCCTTTTTTTTTTTTTTTTTTTTTTTTTTTTTTTTTTTGTGTAAAA